AGCAATATGCCTTATATAACAAAAAGGGAAAGAGTAGTAAGATTTATTTCAATGAGAAATGAAAAATAAAGTGCTTTTATAACAAATGAATCTTCCTAGCTTTGTTATTTTACCAAATGAAATAGGATGTTATGTGACATTTTTTTGTTCACACTGGTAAATCTATTTAATAAGCAAAAATATGATTGAATAATAAACATTAATAAAATATCATACAATGCAACTTTGTCTATCACATTATTTATTTAGTGCATGATTGATACCATGCCGCATAAATAAATTACAATAAACTACCTACGACAGGAAATGATAATAACATATTTATAATATGTTTTTTGAAGTAAAATAAAACGAAAATATGTTCTTAAAAAAGTTGTAAAACATTGATATGAATATCATTCAATTAGTCGTACTAATCTACGAAAAATATGTAAATTCAAAATGAAAATAAAATTTATAACCGTATTAATACCACATAAAGCAAAAACAATTTAGTCACAATCAGTCGCTTAGTCAAAATTTACTATTAGCTATTGCTTTAATCATATTTAACCGATCTAAATGTCTTTGTAGAGCAAAACTAGAGAACTACATTTGCTAGGTATATGAACGCAGCAATTATTGATTCATCCTTTCACCTTGCGCATGTATCTACTACTATTTGGGAATAGGTTCATTACAAAATTAATATTAATTTACTTAATTATAATATCCATAATCTAAAAGAAATCACAGCATGAAAAACATACATAATGATAGGGTAAATATTTCTTCACGTCTAAGAAATTTGAATGCAACAGGTACCTAAAAATAAACTATTTCAACCAAACATAAAAAAACTCTATTTGTTTTTTTTAATTATTAATAATTTTAACAGGCATTCTGTTAACTTTCTTTTTTTACTATAATTTCTGGATGTAATTCAGAAATACTCATTATCTAGGTTTCTCTGAATGAAATATTTTATATAATTTTTCTTCACCGCGTTGTATTAAGCATTACGGGGACTGATTGGAATATTTTCCGATGTGATGAAATTGAAAAATAAAAATAAATTAAACTGGTAAGTGCTCAATTGAATGGTTTTATTTCTACTAATAAACACGTGCGATATGATTATTTTTCTTGCAAAAAACAAATTATTATTCAAGTCCAGCTCATTATCGGTTTTGTACGGTTTTAATTTTTTTTTAATTTCTAAAATAAATAATAATATATTTTTTATTATTAGACTAGCTAGGATAATAACTATCTCGTGGAGAGGTGATGATTTTATTTTTAAATTTACCATTAAGTTTTTACGATAATAAAGTATACAAATTTATTTGGATATCTTTTATTTTGTTACTTTCTATCTAAATTATTTTTTTTTAAATTAATTTTATTTACATTCCACAGAAAAATGTCTGTAATAATCCACCACAAAATTTTGAAAATAAATTCAAATAATTTTGCCAACTAATTTACTTGTCCTAATAGAAACGAGGTAAAACACAAATAGTTGCGTAATAAAAAAAATATATAACAATAAAAAGGTAGATGCTAGGATTAAGAGGGAAATATCTGCTACCATAACATTTGTACTGAATTCCAAAGAATTGTTCCCTCACAATTCTAATGTAAATAATAACGATTAGGATAGGAATGGGCATAGGAAAACCAATAAATTACTTGTTTAAATTTATCTGAATTTGAATTTTTACCAACACAATCTTGAAGAAAAAACCTTGGAAACCGTCTCATATTTCTTTTCCAAAAAAAGCCTATATTTTGGACTCTTCGGTTAATATGGATGAGATATTCAGTAGGAGAAGCGTTTCGACTGGAAAGCACACCCCCGACTGCCCTCACCCTCGACTCCACAACGAAAGAGGGGAGGAACCACATCGATCCATTTTTTCCCTCCAAGTTAGGTTCATTTATCTCCAGATTCCCAACTGGAAACTGACAGTAAAAATAGTGAGGGAAAAACATCCTCGTTTCCAGAAGAATACAAAAAAAAATTATCCTCTGTAAAAGTTGTCATTTAAGCCGTTTTATTGTAAGGTATTGAGAATTTCAAAAATAAGAAAATATTTTACTCATTTCTCAATATCCTTATATCTGAATATAACCTTTTTAATATTTATGAATTTTTGGAATATCTCTACTCCCAGAAGTCATTGACATGTAGTGTGTTTTCACTTGATTCACTTCAAGAGATTTAACAGTTATTTCCAACTCTTATAGAATCTTTCGCACGATATCGCACATATTTAGTTTCTCCCTTCTGGGTGAATAATGTTGGCTCTTAACCAATACATGGTTGACTGTCCTATTTATTTCAAATCATTGTGGTTGATAGTTTTTTATTATTACATTCATGATGGTTTTAGTTTTCCCCTCAATGTATTAACGTATTTCAAGTATGAATTTTAACCTATTTCTGCTATTACCTTCTGGCCAATGATATACCTCAGCACTCTTCTTTATATTATTTATTTTTAAAAAATCAGACTATCGCTGCTTTTCTCTTTACATCCATTCACTTAATCTTAAAAAATGAAAAGCTCCCAAATTAATCCAATAGCTTTTCAAAATTTGCAATAATAATTGATAATTATTTATTCATTAAAAAAATAATAACTAAGAAATCTTTAAACCTTGTTCATGGAGTGATTTGTAATACATCGAGACACACCAACAATGTTTCGTATGATTTCGGCTAGTGTTCTTTGTATTCTATGTTTCTGCCTTTTCAGTATTATTCATTGAACTAAAATCTGTCTAGACTGACCGTGTTGAACTTTCGGTTTCAGTAGAATAACCTCACAAATAAAAATGCAAATAGCAATATCCGAAATTAAAAAAAAAAAAACTAGTAACATGAAGTTACAAACAATAAAATCATAATTGTACAGTTGATTCATTTTATAAATGCTTCTTAATTTATCACCGCTTTAACCAATCCAAATGTTTTTCATCCTCACAATTACGCCGGATAACTTGAATTCAGATTAAAATATCAAAATTCCATTGAGGATAAATTTAAAAAAACAGTAAAATTATTTTACGCTATGGGAATAAGTGACATATTTTAAAAGAATAACATAAAATAAATTATATCATGAGTTCATATAATTTTAGAATGAAATTAAAAAAATTCAAATTAACAAGTCACTCAATATTATTCATAAGTCATGGTTACTTCTATTTGAATAATTAATCTATGACTGGCCTTGGAAATAAATCTTGAAAAAGAAAATACTAAAATCAAATTAATACGAATAGTCTATAAAACTATTTATTTTTTTAATAGGGGATATAAAAGTTTGTCTTAACATAGCTTCAAATTTTTAATTTATATGCTTATTAGATTCTAAGGATAAGATTAATGCAGAGATGAGCGAATTTAAACAAATTTATATAGCACATTCAGTTGCACATAGACCCTTCCCGTTGGATTAACTCATTCGGATTTAGTGCTGTGGTGAAGCTAAGTTAAAGCTGTAATAAGGATTTCCATATCGCAATTTCTATGTTACTTAATACAGTTTTTATACATTTTTTTACATCAGTTTTTCTTGAAAAAGAATTTAATTTTTTTTGTGGTTTACGTTTTGGACCGACTATGAATAAAATTCGAAGATATGACAAATGTTTTACGACAAATCTCAGGGACCTTAAAAAATGTATTCTAAACCGACATACCTGAAGTTTTATATATTGCGATTAATAAAAAAAAGAGAGAACTGATGAACATGAGAGCTCCTAGGATAAAAATATCAATTAGGTGAAAGCAAGAAGAAGGCACTCCTACTAATTTAATATTTATCATGACTATGTACTCTTATCAAACTGCATGTTCGACGGTGTGACTAGAATAGTGATGCAGGGAATGGTTTTGAGGAGGAACTATTATTATAATATTATAAATTTTTTAGGAGAGACAAATATTTAAGGAGTTAAGAAAGTTTGGATGAAATCATATTTTGGTGGGATTCAATTGGAATAATCATTTAAACCAAGGATTTTTTTAATCATTTGAATTTCTTTTAAGAAAAGAATAGCAATAAATTTTCTTGGATGAGGGCATTCATCGTCGTTCTTGGGAGAGGGAATGGACTCCCTGTAATGAAGATAAAGTTACATTAGTGCACCTCTTACCTGTGCCCAGAAAGGTATTCATGATTCAATGATATTTATGATGACATAGTGCCTTTTTAGCCGAAATTATTTTATATAGTTAGTGGTTTTCGAGACACTTTTCGAGACAATACTTACGGTCAGAATGCTATCAGAACGTACTAACCCGTAGTTGTAAACAAAATTCTGTAATTGGTTAAGAACAGTCGTAGTATTGTAACTCCTTTAAAGGTGTAAGTTTGTATTTATATAATGGAAATGTTTTATTTCTTCCCCACACCTTTATCCACTGGTCAAAGTTTAATATAAAGAAGAAATCTGAGATAATTTATATCGTGAAATTATCTCTTCTAAGCTGCAAGAGATTTTGTCTTCGAAATAAATCGATTATTTAGATAAAAATTCTGAAAGATATTGAATCGTCCAAGTAATATAATCGTGAAAACTTGGTCTTAAAGGACCATTAAAGAATTAAAGTTAAAGGACCATGTAAATGATGCTGGTAAATGATTCAAACTAGTTGTGTGGAGTATTAAAACAGGCTGTTGGTGTACTACTAAGCTATTTCTTTTTTTTTTTTTTTCGATTACTACCTATACCGGAAAATATGGTATACTGAAAGGCAGGCGGGGCTGTTATAGAAGTACAATTAATAGAGGTACAATACACCTATTACACCAGAGTAGGAAGGTTGAGATTCATTTCGATGATCAGCCATGAAATTAATTTCAATCTGCCCAGGCAGGATTCAAAGTGGCATGGCTAAATTCGAGGATGACAAAGTTTACGCTTTAATCTTAATTTAATAAGGATCGCTAGTTTACGCTCGGCCATCTAAATCTCTCTACTCATACTAATACTTGTACTGGACTCACCACCAAAGAGCTCCCTCTCCGGACTGCTATCCTCATGGTGCGATGAGGAGGAGGCCCTGGAGATGTCGATCCGGGGGGTGACCCCACTCCTGGCGCCGGGCACCTCCAGCTTGGCCCTGTCTTCGGGGCTGTCGTCGCTGAGGTCCTCGACTGAGGCGAACGGCGCCGCTCCTTTCTTCGACTTCTGTTGGCTCTCTTTCTTGTCCATTCCAGGCCCTGAAAATGTTCACAAAAATTATAATAAGGCATTGTAAAATGTGTCAGAACAGCCACAATGACTTCAAACGTATATCATTCGTATTTACAGGGGTTGAGGAAGGAGGATGAGTTACATTGTTTCATAGAGTGGAGTTTTGTAGGTGAGTGTATATACATCTATCCAATATTAATTATTGTAAAAAAAAAAGTATTATAAACTCTCTTCATAGAGAGGCTTGTTTAAGCTGCTAGTGTTGAATTTGCTCTTTTGGTGTCCTAAAATAGGCAACCTCGACACTACATTTGTCCTAATGAAAGTAAATAAGTAAGTATAAAAATATAAGAACCTTAGTCCAGATGAGATAACTAAATGCATTTCAATAGAAGTTATGGGTCTCAAACTATAGACATTACCATTGGCCGTATAAATACTCCACATTATATAAGAATAAATTATGTAAGGTCCCGGGTTCGAATCCCGACTTATAGCAGATAAAGTATTTATTCTCTTTCATCGGCCTCATCAGCCGGATCGACTCTGGGGGTCGGGAGGCCCTCCTGGAACACACCCAGCCTGCATAAAATGGTAACCTGAATTAAATAATTAATTAAGCAGACAAACTGGCGGTTGATCTCTACGAAATCACTGAACCCAAGATCCTCCACAGGTTGTAGTGGTACAGGTTTCTTTTTTTTTTGCTTCAGATGATTTAAGAATTTATCAGTATTTTTATCAGAAACATTAAAATTTTACCGTAACATGTAAATAGAAGGAATTCTTATCTTTGAAGTCCTTTGTTGACATGGGGAAGTGGGACGACAGATGCAGGTCTGAAATATATAGCGATAAGAGAAGGTGGCATTGTGGGCCATCGAAGGCAGAGCAGGACTATCACATTTGGTACAGCCATCTCTTGTCCAGTTTATTTTCCTTTAGATTTTCAAATAAGATATCCGTTATTATAGTAAGCTGCTATCTCTTTGTCCTGTAAGATATACTATAACCATTAACTGCGATTAATGTGATTAAAATGCTGGTTAATATTATATAAATTAGATGGGTGGAATAAATGTGATGTGATTTAGGCCATCGTTCTTAAATGTGGTGTCGAGGTTGGCTATTTTAGGACAGCAAAAGAGCAGAGTCAACACTAGCAGCTTAAACAATCCTCTCTATGACGATAGTTTATAATACATTTTTGTTTTACAATAAATAACATTGAATAGTTGTACGTAAACTCTATACCTACAAAACTTCACTATATAAAACACTTCACTCTTTTTTAGTGTTGTGCTGATATAAGATTTATATTTTAATAATAATTTTTATAAGTTTACATAATATATATCTTGGACATGTAGCATTACAGGTGAGGATAAATAGGAAAAGTAAAAAAAAAAATATAATATTTTGTTAATAACGATTGTGAAGAAAAATATTTTGGTATTGTGTTGATAAAAGCTTCATATAATTATAATATATTTTGGACTTGAAAGTGGGTAAAAGTACATAAACGTCGATAGGTGTATTGATAAATGCAAGTTTAATGAATTAATTTAAGTCTTTGTGAGTCCTTCGAACAATAGTCGATGCTCCTTTCTATGTAACCAACAAAACCCTACATCATGACCTCAACATCCCATTTGTCCTAAACCTTATTCCAGAAAAATTCTCCAAATTTCACCAGAACCTTACGTACCACCCAAATCCTCTTGCACAATCCCTATCAAGCACCTCCCATCCCTATAATCCTCCAAGAAGGTTGAAACGGCAGTGGCCTAGCGACCTTTTATAGATTGTATATATTAGAGTTCTGGCAATGGCCAGATTCTCAACTCAAGACATGAGTGTATGTGCCTAAAGTGCTCTCGATCAATCTCCGCTGGCTTTAGTACTAGTGACGCGGTTAGGAGAGTAGCGCAGGGTTCTCCTGGAGTGCCCTTGCCTAATTGTATATAAGTATGCATGTGTTTTTTTTTTGCTTAATTTTAATTTTCTTATTTTTTAGGTTATTTTATTTTATTATCTATTGTATATACCTTTGATTATTATTTTGTTTCTATTTATATTATTTTTTTGTAAATATAGTGTGAATGTCATCCTACCTCACTATAAACAATGTCCAAGAGACAGATTGTTGTAATACTCAATAAAGAAATAAATTAAAAAAGTCTTTGTGAAAGAAAACAAAATTTATATGTTTTTGATAATGAAAAGACTTTTTTTAGTTTTTCATATCTTAGATAGTGTAAATCATGGTTAACATTTGAAAATTTGATTAACATGATTGACAAAGATTTTCACATATTACAAGAATCATCGCTTTAGACATTTTATAAATATTTTAAATATCTGATAATATTTATAAACATTAAATTTTTGATGTTTATGAAACAATGAAAATCTGCCAAAAGAAAATGTATTACAAACGGGTTATTTCATGAATGCTAACATAAAACTTGCCGCTGGTATTCGATCTTCTACGTTACTTCCTCTCACGTAATACGATCCCCTTTAAGAAACATGAGAAAGATTCTGGCTTCATATTGTCTTGTCACTTCAGTTCAACAATGTCTTTTGATAACAGTATTAAATTTTGTAAAAGAATGGCATTTCATTTATATAAGAAACCTATTGTATCATATTAGGCTAAAATAAATGATTAGCATTCATCTTATGATGTAACATCGCCAAAAATTATGAATATATGTTTATATGACCAGCTTGGTTGGGACTCAAATAAGTATAAATGTTAGTTAATAAATAAATATTAATTTTTTTATCTTCTCTCCCAAAAGTTTTATTATCCTTATTTCAAAGAAATTACATTGGATCATTTCGGCAATTAGGCATTTTCTATTTCTACTGTGTAATGTTCTGTGAAATTTATTTGTCAATATTATATCATTTAGACGACAGTTATTCTTTTAGTCAGTCAGGATTTTCATTAGTGGTTCTGCATTATTTTTAAAACGTCAGCATACCTCATTTATTATATAATTCTTATCAAAAACTGCTAGTTTTCGGATGAATAATGGATATAAAAAGTATGGATATATTGCATCCCAACTTTATATAATATATAATATAATTTTATACAAACGAAATGAATCGCTAATTTAAAGGTGAAAAAAAAAAAGATCGACATATGGGATTTTTCCCTTTTAATTTATATATATATATATATATATATATATATATATATATATATATATAATGTCTCTTTAAGATTATTGAACTTTTATGTCGATATCACTTTCATTAAATAAAATACTACATATTATTAAGTTTATTTATTTAAAAAAAAAAATAATAACTCAGCTTTAGCATATCTCTTTAAAATCTATATTAAGGCAGTCTGTTGTTGATGAAATAATAATAAAAATATATTTATTATTAACAAAGTGTTATAAATACTGGTATTTTGACTCCAATCGTGCTAGGAAGAAAAATAACTAGAAATTCCGTTTATCTCCAATCATTATTACCTCTGTTCACAGTCAAACATTTAACAAGGTTTTGGGTAGGTCCTTGAAATTTTTACCACCAACATTGGCCGCATCTAATCCTTTTACGAACATCAATTGATAACCATTTATTCTTTCCTGTGTACTGTAACCTAATTATTAAGTACTGATTAAAGAAAGAGATTATTTGATTAAATCAAATGAGAAAAAAAGAACTAATTGTGGAAATACTGTTCCAAGATAAATGCATCTGAGGAAAGCATACTCTACTATCTAGAAATATTGAAAAAGAGCTGTTCTAGAATATAAAACAACTGGAAGGGAAATGTTATGACGATAAAAGTTTCATCAGTTTTATCTGTTTTATCAATTTTATTCAGAGATGTGTTGTAAAGGGAAAAAGTGTCTATTGTAATTTTCCCTTCTACGATCGATCCCCATGCACCCTCTAAGTTTAGACATTTAATTTCCGCCGTCTTAACATGAACGAGGCTAATTGGAGCTGATAGAATTTAGTGTCATGTGTTGCGTAATGGTATAAACTCACGCCTTAAGTAAGGCGTGGTGGTATTGACTTGCGCCTTAAAGATCCCTTTGACTTGTTGACACAGATATATTAATCGTTATACGGGTACTTATTATTATTTACAGGTGTTCCAAAATTAAAGAAAGATTTTAATTAAATGGAAAACAGAGTTATTTTTATTTTAATTCCTATTTTTTTATTGAATCATAAAGTGCACATCATAGGGTTAAGTAAGAAATACCACATCGTGCAAATGGCCTCCACGGCTTTACTGTCACATACGAGTATGCACTCTTTTGTTGAAGTTTTCCATGACCATTTTGCAAAAATGTGGCTGAATTTCGTTGATGCAGTATTGAATTTTCTGCTTCAATGCAAGCGTGCTTGTGGGCTTATTGGCATAGACCTCTAACTTCAAATAGCCCCATAAAAAGATAATCACACGATCTGGAGGGCCAATTATTATCACCGAAACGAGAGAGTATAGAGCTCAATGAGCCCTCTTTGCTGTGCATGGGCAGCGGGCTTCATTTCTTGTTCCATTTAAACTTTGCAAGGATGGAGGCGCAGATCTTCAGTGAGTAAACGCTGTAGAGAACTTCTTGAAAATTCGAAGTTCTGGTCCAAGACGTCAAATTTATGTTCCTAGACTTTCACTAACACTCTGACGCACTACTTCAATATTGACCCTTGAACGACTTGTTTTTGGACGACCAGTATGTTTAACGTCACCAATTGATCATGACTGATTGAATTTCCCAATCACTCTCTTCTCAGCGGATGAAGTTAAAACGACATTCCGATCAAATTTTTGAACTGTGGCCATAATATTTTCATTTTTTTTTCATTATATAAAATAAAACAAAAGAAGAAATTTACATTCATACTATTGTGAAGCTCCGGATTTTTCCAGAAATACTGTAGCAATAGTACAAGTAGTAAGTAGGATTAGGAATTTCCGGAGTTTGTATAGCAATGTGTATTCTAAATAGGTATTAATGAGTTCAGGGTGCTTCATTTTTGC